TTTGAACAATAAAAACAGCAACTTATACATTAAAAAGACCAATTTATACAATAAAAAGACCAATTGAAAAATACAAAGTTCATTTTGAACAATAAAAATAAAACATCCGTTTGTGCAATGAAAAGAGTATATTTTAACAATGAGAAGATCATTTACATCTCAAAAAACAATTTGAACGATAAAAAGAACAATTTGAACAATTAAAAGAGTAAAAGAGCAATACATAGAGCAGTTTGAGCGATAAAAAGACCAATTTGTACAATAAAACAATGAACACATAAACAATGAAATATGCAAATCAGAGGCAGTAAATACGTGTATATTTAGGATATATGTAACGCTTTCACTTGTTTCGTGTCATTTAAAGGTCATCCTTCGCAGAGTCAACACGACGAATAAACTTGCCCCTTAAAAATCTCCAACTGACGTCATGCCACGCCCAGAATTCTTAATGTTATATAATGCTGTATTTTACATTTAGGTTCCGCTATAAAAAACAAGAGTAACGCTCCGCTCTGACTGAATTTGTGAAACGTATACATGTACAGGGTAACGGGACGTAAAATACTCTAGTTTAAAGGATTAAAAAATACAGCTAGGGACAACAGGGTCTTCTTCCCGATCAAATCTCTGTAGCCATAGTAAGCCAAACCCAAGACTGCTAGCATGTGGGTGCCCTCTCTTCCGTAGTGTCCAAAGGTTAAGTTAGACCAACGCTTACTTCCAACATACACAATGTAATCATTAACACATTAGTCTGCTGACACAGCTCAGCCACTACATACAGTCCATTATTTAGGGATTATCCCTCTCATTAACCGGTGGCACGAGCTGTCTATTGTGTAGGGATTATCGCTTCCTACTCCTTGATTACCTTAGAATTGCCTGGTGAGCCAGTCAGTATACCATCACACACTATATGACTCATCCTCCATCATGTTGTTCCATAATTTCATAAGCAAGGTCAAATTGTACCAAACATTTTTACCCCGTGCTATGCCTTACTCCTATTTTATCCCATACACCAGGGTCAACCAAACTTTCTGACCTTATCCCAAGCCTATCCCTTACCAAAGGTCATTCTGTACTATAATTTTTCACCCTACACGTCATTCCTATTCATATCAATATCATATTATTAACTTATGCATATTAATGATCTTTTCTCTTTTTAGGTCAAAGGTCAAATTGTACCAAACAGTCCCCCCACTACTATGGTGTGTGTAGATTCGTTTTTTGACTCGTAGATAATTGATTTAATGTCCATTTTAATATATGATTTTTAAATTTATCTAACGTGTATTTTATAGGTAGGTATTCAATTGTATAATACGTTAAATTGAAGCTTAAGCGAAGCTGTGTTAGCCTAGCTTAAGCATTTTAAAACAAATAATAACAACTTACAAATCTGTTGACTCCGGGACCATATTACATTTTTTCATTAGATTGCACTTTCGGCAAACAAGCACGCAATTCCATTTGACATGCCCAAAACCAGTATGCAATCTTTCTATCGTCGCCTAGTGGTCTTTTTCCTCGATAAATTGTAATTTAACTTTGCAATCTAGAAAATGACAATTTTCATGCTCATTGACTAATTCCCGTAACAATTCTTTGTCAATAAATTTTTGGGTGTTAAATAAATTATTTTGCCTGTCGTGCTTTTTAGAGTCCCACAACCAGCGGTCAATGGTGATTTTAACAGCGTCGCCGCAAATTTTACAAGTGTCTTTTCTTCTCCCATGAGGGCATCTATTTCTATCATGACTCTCTATTCGTCTATCAATACAATTATTACACTTTAAATTTATCTCGCCATTTGGCTTTATTCGATTATTTGAAATTGCTTTTAATTTCTTACACTGAGTATACATTTTAGTATCCATTTCAATTATTGTCAATTTAACAAATTTGTATAAAGTTCTATTCACGTCAAAAACCACGACACGGGAGGTTCAGTGTAAATCAATTTACTAAATTTCACGTCTCGTAAATGTTTTTTAATTTCCTTTTTTTTTCATCAGGCACTTCATCATTCTCGTCTAAACACTGATCAAATGAATTTCGGTCCTTGCAATGAAATAAAGTGGTCCACGCCGTGTTTTCTCTTCATTCTTTGAGCACCGAGTTGTATTTTTGGCTCAATAACCAACAGCTGTGTAAATAATGCCGGCCACTAAACGCCATCTTACTCAATGCACACGTATTACTATTTCTAGATTTCTTGCAATATTTAATAAACTGGTCAGCTGCGCAATCATCAATAACAAATAAAGTATTTACACCGTCAAAATTTTTTTTATATAATACAATCGCTTCGTTAAGGTCTAATCTCTCTTTTTCCAAGTCGCAAAGATAAACGTTATCGTCAATTATAAACCCACAGCCGCTCCAAATAAGTTTTATTTTTAGACAAAGTCGGGCCAATAATCTCGATCGCTTCAAATGTGTGGCGGTATTTGGTCTCCAGAGGGTCTAGCACCCAAATTGTTTTACCTGACCCAGTTTTACCCACTATCAAGGCGCAATGGGGACTTTTGTACATTTTCATTTATTTTAAACCCGATTTATTTTAACTCGACTTAATAAACGAAGCTCTTAAAATGTCCGTCTTCAATCGTTAACTGCGCGTCCATCACCAAAAATACGTACATCGTCAACGGGCCTGCAGTTTCTGCTTCTCGTTCCATCTGTATCGATATGTCACCGCCGCCCCCAGAGGCCTGTCCGATCCATGTGCCGAGTTATCGTCTGAACTTCTAAAGTCTAACCACAAACCGTACACGTCCTTTAAATAATCAGCCGTGTCTACTCCGGTTAAATTTAGGTCTTTTGCAACCACTCGAGCCGATTCAGTGTCTGAGTCACCGAAGTATTTGTTAATTTCGTTCCAATGCTGATATTCAAATAGCCCCCAAGGATTCAGCTGATTTGGTTTCCCCTCGATCGCTACAACCGTTGTAGTCATATGCGGGTTGTAAAATCTCTGACGGCCGGATCTTTGAACAGAATCAAAACTCCTTTAAGACTTTTAATTGTCTGGTCGATACTGATGTTCCATAATGTATCCGACTTATTGACCACTTGTTTTTTTCCAAGAATGAATTCGGTCCAACGAATAATACACGAGCCCTTTTTGTTTATACAGGATACTCATTGCCAAATTGCGATTGGTGACGACTTCGTATTCTAAAGTTATATCCGAAATTACATATTCCGCGGCCGTGTCTGACGAGTTAACCACTCTATCATGCAAGTTAAAAGTTAACTGATACGTCAGAGGCTCTTTAAAACCCAAAGGATAAAAAGGACTGTGATCTGTCAATAGCGGCGTGTCTAATGGAATCGCGTATCTATGCATCTGCAATTGCTTTATCTTTCCGCTGTTTGCGGCTTCGTTTTTGTTGCCCGCCCCCAGTCGTAACTTGGCCACGTTTTCCCTTTCGAGGCCAAAGTACGCCATATTTTTAGTCAGCGACAGAGGTAGCCAGTTATCTTTAAAATTGTGAAACACATCCGCGTCTCGGTAACTGACGATTTTGTTGCCTGTAAGCTGACGTTGATTTCTTTAATCAAATTTCTCGCCACATTATTAAACACGGTTCGATTATCGTCGGATGCTCCGTCTAAATCGAGTTTAAACGCCAACTTTGCGGTACCCGGACGATTACGTCGTCAATGCCTAAAGCGACGAGTTTTATGTTCAACGTGTAACCTGCTGCAACGGTACTCGGATTATCAAATTGACAAACGCACCAGTCAATTTAAACGAGTCAATGGCAGGCGCGTGAAAACGGGCCCAAGTTTGTATTACTTATTAAACGGGCCAACTAGGAGTTTTGTCAAAGAGGGACTTCAAGTTGTAACCGAGGATACCGAATTACCGTCCACTAGACAATGTCCGTGGGCTAAAGGTTCAATGCCGTCTGATAATACGTAATGCTCTGTGTCTAACGGCGAAAGGCTTAATTTATTTTGCGACACAGTGAATATGAGTTGCGGGGGGGCCTGTTTGGTACACTTTTTATAGTACATTTTTTACAGTACATGTTTTATAGTACACTGTTTAGGGTACACGTTGACCCAAAATCTTAAAATGTTCCCCAACACAATAGACCCATGGCCCGGCTGGAGGTCCGGACGTAAGTAACATGACACAATAGACCGTGGGCCGACCGTGAGGCTATAAAAGTGAATGAAAGGATAAGAGTACTAATCCCTATACAAAGGACCGTAGGCCGACCGTTGGGCCCCCAAAAGTTAATGATCGTGATACAATAGAGATTGGCCGACCGGGGCTAAAAGTCCGTTTGTGTATTTTGTTAATGGTACACGCCGATAATGAAAGCGATAATGAAAGCACTTCTCTTACAATCGTCGCCACGGCTGTTTGTTTCGCGGATTTTAGAAATCTAAAATAAAGATGGTCGCATGAGCGTCAGGAAAGGGGTGATATGACCAAAGATGAGGGTAGGGGGGAGAAGTTAATGAGTCGCGGGGAGACATATATCGACCCGTCCGTGGGGTAAACGCGAAAAAATCAAATTCGGGGTTGAGAGAAAACGTTTAAGGCGATGATTTTAACGCGGTAGTTAAAATGAATATTTGATTCGAAAGGTAGCAGATCGAGAGATAAATATGGAGAGCGAAATCCCAAACTGTCGGCCTACCCGATTAGTGTATCTGGCCTCCGAAGTAACGGAGCGACAGCTCGCTGAATTGGCTGGTAATCTCGTCAAAGAACAGGAGGGAACGAAACCCTGGGAAGAACTTTTGATGTCTCTCGGCCTTTCTAGCGTCGATTTATTAGGCATAAAGAAGAAAACAGATTTAATTTGTGGGGGACAATCGTTACGCCTTGGTGCAGTGGAAACGGCGTTATTATAAAGAAGCCACGGAGTGTCAACGATGTAATATTTCGATTGGAGCCTACGATTTTTTATACCCGGAGTAAAGTTTTAAGGGAGTAAAACCGAATCTATGTGATTTATGTTTAGAAAATGACGTCATGCAACGTCATATCAATAAAACGATAATCCTTTTGTTAAAAAATGCTGAGTCATCCTCTTAAGAAATGACGTCATGAGAACGGGCTGTTGCGCAATATTTCATTCAAGAAAATGAAATAAAAGCGAGTGGAACAACGCCAAAGTGATATTTTCTGGAAGATGTTCAATTGCGAAAGATGACCGGTCCTCAAACACAAGCCCCTTGGTCCTCCCAATGCAACGCATTGCCGTCGTGTAGACCCACGCATAGTTGGGATATGGCCGGCAGCCTTAATACGGTCTCTGAATTTTGTCAAGAAATGGAACAGGCCCCAATGGCTCAAGTGCCTTTGGAAGAGGGATCGAGGAAAAGATCGTTGGTTGAACAAAGAATGACCGCGCCACTAAGGACCCTGAAAGTATTAGAGCCAACGGATTTATCGTCTAGCGCCAGATTTAAATTGACGGAGGGACGCCATGTTGTAATTGAAAAGTTTCGCGCGTTGCCTTACGTAAAAATAAGGGATTATCACCAAGTCAAAAAGAAGGGCTTTCCATTGGTTCCCGGTCGAGGGATTAATCTTCCCGTGACGGAGTGGGAGTGCCTTAAGACAATGATTCCCGAAATTGACGCGGCCATCGACCAAATTCCATCGTAAATTGGCGGGAAATTTCCTTGCTACGAACAAAGAAGAGAAAAATGGATAAAAGGGGTAGAGTCGGCCCTCGAGACCCATCTTGCTCCAACGCAACCATCAGCACCACCAGTACCATCAGCACCACCAGCGCCATCAGCTTCAACAGCACCGCCAGCTTCATCAACAGCATCACCTCTCTGCTTTCTCAGCACCATCTATCTTATACGCCATGGCCCAACAGTTTTTTGGACCCAAGTTTAACGCCGAGGAGGAGTGGCGGCAGTTGGACGGCCGCGTGGCTGACGAACACCCCATGTGGGGACCCGCTCAACGGGAAATGGGTAAGTTAGGTTCGTTATCGATTCAACGCTCTCGTACGACGGTCCTAACATTCAATTAGGAATGCTATTCTTCCAGTTTCTTATGGCTTTTCTTGTTTTCTTGTAACACGCAGATGTTGAACATGTCGATCTGGTCGAAGACGGAGGTCAAATCGATAGATTTGACCATGTCAGACGATGGTAAGTTTCTTTTCAAAAAAATGTATATATGTAGGTGTGTTTAGTCGTCTTTGTTACTGTAATGTCAGCGATGTTTTAATACAAACAGATTTGTATTTGTATTTCATACGCAGACGACGACGTGTTTTTGCCGGCAAGCCCGGCACCCGCTCCACCCAGCCCGGCACCCGCTCCACCAAGCCCACCCATCCTACCACCCAACGAGGACCTCTTCACTGAGGCTACAGTCTACCTCTACACACACGTGGCAATGTTTATTAATTTAATTTTTCCTCATTTTATAGCAAGCAGATGTGGGGGGTGTGAAATCGATCACCCCTCACAAACTCAACACATATGTGTCATGGAAGACAAGGAAACGTTACTAAATTGGTTTTTGAGGGACATGTTGGAGGAGCTGTGTGACGATAGACTTGAAGAGTGTATTGATACATGGGTATACGAAGTGCAACAAAATCAGGAATTATCTTTACACGACGCGCATTTGGACATGGCGATTCTTGACCTTTCCACATTTTTATGTTTTTAGTTGCAGCAGGCGGAAAAATTAGAAGCGTTGAGACAATTTATTTTATAGAACTGGGGTTTTTTTTCAGGGCTGTCGACACAGGGTTCCTCTTTTTTACTTTATTTTTTTTCTTTGTTTTTTCAAGTAATGTATAGTTAATGGTTTGAAATGTGTAATGTAATTTGTGTTTGAAATAAAATGGTTGTTATTGGGAATAGTTTGCGTCGCTTGTTTGTATTTTGGTTTGGGTCAAATAAGAAAAATAATTAATAAATAAAATCAGGCAAAGAAATAGATAAATAAATCAAAATAGAAGATAATAATAAAGGAAATAGTCAAGAAATAGATAAATAAATCAAAATAGAAAATAACTGATAAAGAAAATTAGGCAAAGAAATAGATAAATAAATCAATAATAAATAATAATGATCAAGAAAGGAAATAAAACAGACGCATTAAAAAGGGGTTAAATTATATCCAGCGGTCATTTCAAACTTTGACTTCGACGAGGCAGGATCATGGAAAAGTACCTAAAGTCCCTCTATTACGACATAGGTCGCGAAAGCGGTCTGAGCAGCGTAAACAGGTTGTATCGCGCCACCAAGCAAGATGGAAAGTACAAGATTACGCGAAAGCAAATTCGAGACTTTCTTCGAGGACAGGACGCTTACACGCTCCATAAACCCGCCAGAAAAAGATATCCCAGAAACAAAATGATTGCCGGGGGTCGGGATGAAATCCACCAGTTAGATCTGGTAGATGTATCTAATTTATCCAAATACAATACAGGCTATAGATACTTGCTGACTTGGATCAACGTGTTTTCCAAATACGCCTGGGTTATTCCGTTAAAAAATAAATCGAGCAAGGCGCTGGTGAATGCTTTCAAGACCAATGTCAGATCTAGTGGCAGACCTTCCGTGATGATTCACACGGATAAAGGCAGTGAATTTACCAACCGTCCGTTCCAAGACATGCTTAAAACGGAAGGGATACATTTCTATACGACCAACAGCGAGGTCAAAGCATCTGTCGTGGAGAGATTCAACCGCAAGCTCAAGTATCGCATGTGGTGGTACTTTACGTGGAAAAACACGTTGAAATACATCGACGTCTTGGGGCCACTGGTGAAGGCCTAAAACCATTCGCATCACCGAACCATTGGAATGAAGCCCGCGGAAGTCACCGGCGCGAATGAAAGCGCCCTTACTGAGAATCGTCCCCGTGCAAAAGTCTGGTGTCACTCAGTGTGATGTCATCGCTCACACCTTCAGCGCGCCCCATTACGTGCCCGTCAAACGAAAACACTTTGAGACGATTCAGGTGGATATAAGGACCGACACGGGAGAGAAAGTGCCATTCCAACACGGGAAACTCACCATTACACTTCATTTTCGCAAAAGCCGTCCCTCTTTGTTTTGAGCCGTCACGGTGGCCTTCGTGAAATATTACAAAAATCATGCAGGGGGCGGGGATTATTATTTCAGAGGTGCCCCCGTTCAGAAGGGATACAGACTGGGCAATATTTTAGGAGGACTGTTCAGATCCGCTTTACCAATGATCAAACAAGGCGCCAAAATGATAGGCAAGGAGGCCTTGAAGACCAGGATAGGAATCGTCGCCGATACCCTCGACGGACAGAATGTCAAGACGGCCGCGAAGAAACGGGTGAAACAGGCTGGAAAGAAGATGACGTCACGGGTCATGCAGCGACTCTCCGAGCAACCCGCCTCCCAGGAGAAAGGTTTAAAAAGGAAAGCATCCGGCGCGTCGGGCAGAAAGGCTCGGAGCAAGCGACCGAAAATTACCCCCGACATTTTCGATTAACAACGGTGTACACCACTATGGCATTCATCAGTAAACATTCGTGCGAATGCACAAAGTCCGAACTAGATCTGTTTTCCGTCCCACCCACTCAGACCTCCATTTTGAAAGGGCAATGGGTACAGTACAATCCACTGACCAATATCGTGGACTCGGACTCTATAGAATTTAACATCACCGGTTCCACCAAGCACTACCTGGATTTGGCACACACCCTGATCAACGTCAAAGTTACAGTGGTCAATGAAAATGGCGCCGACCTGGGCGAGGGTGTTCCCGTCGCTCCCGTCAATCTGCTGCTTCACTCCCTGTTCTCCGAAGTGGATGTCACGCTCAACGATAAACTCGTTTTGTCTTCCTCCAACACGTACCCGTACCGAGCCCTGTTAGAAACCCTGCTCACTTAAGGCAGGTAAGGTCAAGGCATCGCAGCTGACAGCCGCCCTGTTTTACAAAGATACGGCGGGAAAAATGGACTCGGACGATCCAACCGCTGAAGAAAATTTCAGTGAGGGATTAAAGCGGAGATACAAACTGTCGAAGGGGAGCCGTATTATCGATACGTTGGGACCGATTCACGGAGACATATTTTTTCAAGATAGGTTTTTACTGAACGGCGTCAACCTGAAGCTCAAGTTTCATCGCAGCAAAAACAGTTTTTGTTTAACGGCGGCTTTACCGGACACTCACTACAAAGTAAAGATAATGGAAGCTTCTCTGTACGTGAGAAAGAAGGTGGTCAGTCCCACCGTGGCTCTAGCGCACGCCAAACCCTACAGAGTGCTACGGCCAAATACCCGCTGCGCAGAGTGGAGGTCAAAACTTTTTCTATTCCGCTAGGAAATCAATCTTTTACCCGCGAAAATCTGTTTCTGGGACAAATCCCCCGGCGCATGGTGATTGGCATGGTGGATAACGCGGCCTTCGACGACGACTATCATAAAAACCCCTAAAACTTTAAACATTACGGTCTAAATTACCTGGGGCTGTACATGGATAACGAACAGACGCCGTGGTGACCTCTTCAACCCAAATTTTCCGGCAAAGACGAAGCGTACATGATGTCCTATCAGACTTTGTATTCCGGTATAAATACCCTGTTTGGAGACAAGGGCAATCAGATCAACAGGGAAGACTACGAGTCGGGATACTCCCTCTTTGCTTTTGATCTGTCTCCGGACTTGTCGAGCGGGTCTCATTTCAACCTGGTCAAGCGTAGTAACATGCGTCTGGAGTTGAAATTTGCCGAGGCCCTGACAACGACCGTCAACGTGAAGGTGTACAGTGAAATCGAGAGCATCCTGGAAGTGGACAAGAGCCGCAATATTCTGATCGATTACGCCAACTAAACGATGGACAGCGTACAACTTTTAAGAGTCCTCAAGGGGGACAGCGTGACCGGCCGTGACGTCATTGGTGTATTTCCGTCGGATAGGTTACCGCCCGTGACCTAATACCCCAGCGCCCTCATCGTGACGCCGACGAGAGTGATCGACCGTGTACCCACTGGCTGGCGATGTACTTTACTCAGGATTGCCGAGCGGAATTTTTGACTCTTACGGGCTTCCACCAGACACCTACGGGCAACATGTTCAATCTTTTTTACGGAAGAACAGTTTGCAGTTTATACGCAACACAGTTCGCTTGCAATCTTTCACCACGACGGTTTGCGGTCACCACTGCCTATTTTACCTGTTGCACCGTTGTAGGGGCATCTCCATGAGAGCTATTGTGTCCGTGTTTACGGT